TTTACATATATACACATTTTTTTAAAAAGACTTTTAAAAAATTACAGAATTTTAAAAATTATTTTTTAAAAATAAAATAAAAAATTATATATACATATATACACATAAATGTATATATAATTTTTTATTTTATTTTTAAAAAATAATTTTTAAAATTCTGTAATTTTTTAAAAGTCTTTTTAAAAAAATGTGTATATATGTAACAGTGTGTATATATGTAAATGTATAAGTGTGTATATATATATAAAATTATGTATGTAGATGTATATATGTGTGTATATACATATGTATATGTATATAATTGTGTATAGATATAAAAGTGTGTATATATGTATATGTAATTTTCTATTTTATTTTTAAAAAATAAAATTTAAAATTCTGTTTTTTATTTTATTTTATTAGTTTTTTAAAAAAATTAGAAATTTTTTATTTTTCTTTTATTTTTTATTTATTTTATGACGTGGCAGGATGATTTGGCGAAATGTGATGATTTGGCGAAATTTGTATGACGTGGCATGTCACGTCAACATCAAAATTGACGGAACTTAACGTCGTTTACGGGAATGAGGGAAATTGCAACACATTTTAAGATTTTGTGTGGGAATTTAGAAATATTTGAAATCCAGTGTAATTTTTTGTCAAATTAAAAATTGGTGTAGAAAATTGGAACTTTTTCGAAAATTTATGGAGAAATATGGGATTAACCCTAAAAATTGAATAGATATAATTTTTACCTAAAACCTTCAAAAATATACATAAAGACGCAAATAAAATGCAATTTATTTTAAGTAAAAACTAATTATTTATTGGGTTCAGAAATAAATTCGGGTCGGGCTTAATCCAAAAATATATCGAGCCGGGTTAACCCAATGGCAGTGAAATGGGCCTTTCGGTCGGCCCATGAATCGGTCGGTCGGCGAAGTTCGTCCATTTCGTCCCCCTTCCTCGGCCGCCCGGAGTGGAAGCACCTCGACTCTGTTACTCGTGTTTCTTCTTCACCAGACTCAATTTGCGTACGCAGCTGCTCCTATGGAAGGCGAATCGAGGAACAAGCTCAAACGTTCCTTCGTTGACGAAGGTGATTCTAGTGATCAACCTGCGTAAGTTTCAACTATTTCGAAACCCTAATCCTCCATTTCTATTCTGCAGAAGATGTCCGTTCTGTTTTGCTCTTTTTGTTTTTTTTCCTCCTCGATGTCTCTATTTTCTTTTTGTTTCTATGAAAACTTTGTGGTTTCCGGGATAATTTTGAATCTGCAGTTATCGTTTCTGTAAGTTGCGATGGTTTTGTTCTTGGCACATCCATATTTCTCCATGCGTGCTCGTTACACTGCCTTTTACTATAAAATTTGAGCGTCAACGAATTGCCTTCTGTACATATTCTGCGGCGTCTGGGTATGGATAAGTAGGTTGGTGTGTTTTCAATTTGTGTTGTAATGGAGATTTCTTCGTGGCAGACAAAAGAGGGTAAGATTCCCAAAGGGCAAGAAGACGAAACCCACATACGAGGTATTTCACAAGGGAGATGCTGAAGCTGTCCCTATAGACCCCAGGGATCCGCGTCATGCTGCAAAAGAGCGTGCCAAACGCCGTAATCAGATTACCACCGAGCTTTTTACCGAAGACGGTGAAGGCTTCCTGGATGACGTCACAGCAGCAGAGGAGACTTATGAGGTAACGAATTCTTAATTCCTTCATTGCTCTTAGCATGCTTAGATTTTGCCACTGTGTTGTATCATCCACTTGTATTTGCTTATCTACGTTATATGCCATTTATCTTTATCCTTTCACAGGATAGTTTTTGGTTTTGTCCAATATATTAATTTGTAACTGCAGACCACTAGAATTCCCAAGTCTTGCTTCTGCATTATGCTAGATTTCCGTTCTCCTTACAAAATCCCCACTCTTTTTATGCGATTTGTTCTATGTGTAACGAGTTTTTCTGCAAATCAGCTTATTTCAACCTTTATGCATTTTGTTGTGATGTCTCGAAGCTCAAGATCATTTTGATTTTCCGTTTTTTGCAAACAATTCAAGGCAAACTTAGATACATATTGTGAATCGTTGTGGCGTAATCATCTGTTTGTAGGATGATGGGAACCGTTCGGAAGATGGCATCCACATAGAAGCTTTCAATCTGAACAAAGAGAGAGAAGAAGGCTACTTCGATGCTGATGGGAACTTTGTAGAATATGCTAGAGAAAAAGAAATCAAGGTACCAAGTATACATCTTGTTTTCCTCTAAGATTTCGTGTTTTAGAGATTCTGTTTGTTTGCTTACTTATCGAGTCTTCCAGGATGCCTGGCTTGACAGCATTGAGGCCAATCCGAAGTATATGGGACGTTCTGCGGCAAATGATAGTGGGAATGATGAAGACAGTGGAAATGAAAATACAGTTGACGAGCTTTCTCAAGAAGAGATTGGAACAATGAAAAGGCGCATTGCCAATATCCTTCAACCGGGAGAAACGGTGAGACAGACCGACTTTCAGTGATTATTTTATTTTCTGATGGGAATGTTGATTGGATGCATCGGTGGTATTTCAATATAACATGTAGCGCTCCATCTGGTATCAGCTTGGTCAGGTAAAGGATGCCAGTTAGTTGTCTAAACTTAATTAAAAAAAAATGACTCTAGATGTGTACATCTTGGCGTGTTGCTGCCTTAACTATTTGGCCATTTTACTGCTATAACGAGCATTGAGCAAGCTATTGGTTTTCTTCTCCTACCAAGAAAAACAGTGTTGTTCCCTAAGTTTTTTGTTGATATAATTATTTTATGTCATTCTAGCAGCTTGCTTGGAACTTTTGAGATATCATTACAGATTTATATGCTTGAAACATGTAAGATAACTAGAGTTGATGGTTACAGGTTCTCCAAGCTTTGAGGAGGTTGAAAGGAAACTCAAATAACCGGAAGGAGAAGATGTCACCTGAAACTAAGCATATCTTTGATCAGCTTACTGAGGATGCTGACAAGCTGATCCAGAATGGTGAATATGGTAAAAGTCTCTTTCTTTTGTGCTGTATGACAAGCTCAGCTGCAAATGTGCTGTCCTATGTTTATATTGTTTTCACTTTAATGTGCAGATGTTTATCATGAGAAACAAGACGTTTTTGAGCGTGAGGCAGGTTAGAGAAATTATTGCTTTCTATCTTTGTATTACTTTTATGCTACAGAACAGAGCTGTAGGAAACAATGGCATTATTTCAATGTACTACTTAAATGGCACCTATAGTATAAAGTTCTTTTACTGGCTGGGTCGCAGCTCAGCTTTCTGGTGAAACATAATCTCAACGGTTTCCCTTTTTCATTCTTTGTTTTGATTTCTGGGCCACAACTTGCTCATACATTGGTACAAAAGTGGCACAGTTTTTGTTTTATTGGCGTTATGGATGCATCAACTAGCTTTACTGGCTAATTGTCCTCTGTGCTGAACTTTCAGAGGGATATGAGAAATTAGCTGAAGCGAGGAGAAGAGGAACATCTGCAAGTGTTAGTGATGACATGTTCTCTGATGCAAATGATCTAATTCCAGACAATCCACTACACTCTGGACCCTCGGCAGGGCCTTCTGTTTCAAATGGGGCAGCAGCTATGAATAACCCTAACAATGACTCGTATGACATTTTTACCGATGATGGAAATGGCTCTGCTAATCCTTCCTCTAATGGGAGTGGTTTACCCGCTGGCTCCATAACGGCATATACAAACATGACTTCTGAAGGTAAGCCATATGGTGTATTTCCCGTGATAATAAGAAGACTCCTGTTAGAAAAAAAGTGCGTTATTTTTCCCATCGTGGTGTTTCTTCTGCAGCTGGAGCTGATGGATCAGATTATGTGTATGACGAGTCTTCAGGGTATATCTCTCTCTCTCTCTCTCTCTCCGGCGTCTTACATGATAGACACAGAGATATGAATTCTTCATTTCCACTCATTTCGTTTTTTGGGTTAAATCTTCCGAAATTTGCAAAAACTCCAAATCATTACCCAATACCCATAGAATTCTGTTTTATAATCTCTAAAAAGGATGTATTTTGAAGATGTATACATTTCTTAACGAATGGCAGGTACTACTATAGCAGCAGCTTGGGTTATTACTACGACCCGAACACTGGACTGTACTGCTCAGCAGCAACCGGCAAATGGTAATTCCCTTGCCTTACGCAGGTTCACTGTGGATCTGTGTCTCGAACGAGGAAAGAAATGGGCCTTTATTTCTTGTTAAAGCTGTCAAATATCAAGCTCTCGATTCTTGGCAAATGGGCTTGCAAGCAAAGTAGTGGGAAAAAAATTTATCCTGGGTTGTTTATTTTTGCAGGTACAAGTATGATGAAGAGACAAAGGAATACGAAGAGGTTAATGAAATGGCTGATTCCGTATAAAAAAAAGAAAAAGGGTCTAGGAGATGGTCGTTTTTGGACAGTTTGTTTGAAGATTATTTGGTTTACGTGTTTGTGTTTTATTCGTGTACCTTTTAAATATTGTTCCTAATCAATGTGTTTGTAGAATTAAACTCTCCGCTCAATTTTTTTTTTTTTTTTTAACAAACAGAATTAAAAGGAATAAGACAATTCCGGCATTAGGAATTTACTAGATAAGAGGACCTTCCTTAATTGGCCCTCGGTTTTACTATATTTACATCCTTGCCTTCCTCGTGGTTTACATTTTTGGGAAATCAATTAAGCAATCAGGACATGACAAATGGCGCTGTTATTTTCTTGATCTCTTTTTTTTTTTTAATAAACAGGTAAAATCGATATTCTATACACGTAACCCGGTTTAATCTTCCACTCTGTAAACCGGTTTAATTCGTGAGCCCATTCCGAACCGGTATTGGATCCGACCCGGTTTCAACAAAGTGACAACAGCAAACGAGAGAACATTGCCATGAGATTCCCTCCGAGAAATCTAGTACCAGCAAACTGCACTTTTCGCTCCTCGTCATCGTTTCTCGCAATTCCTAATCGAATCAAATGCGAAACCCTAGTGGAACGATTCTTTACCCTTGATCCTGCAAATCTCCTGAGGTTTTTCTGAATTTTACATGTTAATAGGAGTCTCAAGCTCTCGGCGTAATCCGTTTGGGGAATACTTTCAGGCTTGATTTGCACCGGAAGGGGTGCAAAAATGGCGGAGGATAGCAGCACAGACGGATCGGAGAAGGAAGAAATTGACAGCGCTGGTGATGGTCGCGTAGATTTGGCGTCCATAGATTCTGTTGAGTCTAGATGGGTTTTTCCGGACGAGGATGATTCCGAGATCAGCGCTGAAGACGATCACGATGGATACGACGGCACCGGGATGGAATCCGATGATGAAGAGATCTTGGAGCAACGATTGATCCGAACCGGTCCACGCGTTGATTCCTTCGACGTGGAAGCGCTCGAAGTTCCTGGAGTTCAGAGGAATGACTATGAGGTGATTGGTTCATTAATAGTTTTCTCTGCGGTTTTATGAACCCAGAAAAGATTACTACTTCTTTTTGGAGTGCTTTAAAAAAAATGTTCTGTGGAGGTGTAGATGATTCTTCTTCTGTATTGTTTAATGCTTTTTATTGAGATATTTTTGCATTTAGCTTTTGCATATTGGGAAATTGGCATGAGGATTTCTATTCTATGTTTGTGGGAAATCTTATTTTGCCAGGACATGAGCATGGGGAGGAGAGTGATGCTTGCCTTTCAGACATTGGGAGTTGTCTTTGGCGATGTAGGAACAAGTCCATTGTATACGTTCAGTGTGATGTTCAGTAAATCACCTGTGAAGGAAAAAGAAGATGTCATCGGGGCATTGTCACTAGTGCTATATACCTTGATCTTGATTCCCCTTGTTAAATATGTTCTCGTTGTTCTATGGGCAAATGATGATGGGGAAGGTATACAACTAACCCTTGAAACTTTCTGACCTTCCAAGTCCTGCAGAGAATTTCCCATGTGCTTCTATTTCTGATTTGCTCCATTTTTATTATATTTCAGGGGGGACCTTTGCATTGTACTCGTTAATATGCCGTCATGCCAAGATTAGTCTCATCCCAAATCAACTCCGTTCAGATGCACGCATATCGAGTTTTAGATTGAAGGTGCCATGCCCTGAACTTGAACGGTCGCTGAAAATCAAAGAAAAACTCGAGAATTCGTCGATCTTGAAAAGGCTTCTCCTCATTTTAGTTCTTGCGGGAACTTCCATGGTGCTTGCTGATGGGGTTGTGACTCCAGCAATGTCAGGTTTTTACATATTCTCTTGCTGGTCATAATCATTCTTGGGTGGATTACCTTAGAAAGTTGATTCTATTGAATTTGTTACATGAACTTGATTTTGTTGTCATGAACCGTGATGGCTTTGTTGTATTGAGCAGTGATTGAACTAATGGAGTACTGGAGTTTTCCTAATTGTTTGATATATTTAACGCAGTCATGTCAGCTGTTGGTGGCCTGAGGGTCGGAGTAGACGCAGTTGAACAGGGTAATGTAGATGATATGCTGATTAACTTGTTGGTAGATATTCAATTCTAGTTTGCTTTTGATTCTATATCATGTTGTTAAGTTGTATTATGACTGTACATTTTCTATTGTTCAGCTATCTCTTTTGTTTCTTCTTTGCAGATCAAGTGGTGATGATTTCTGTTGCCTTTCTTGTGATTTTGTTTAGTGTACAAAAGTACGGGACAAGCAAAATGGGGCTTGTAGTAGGCCCTGCTTTACTTATATGGTTTTGTTGCCTTGCTGGCATTGGAATTCACAACCTGATCAAATATGATACCAGTGTTTTTAGAGCTTTCAACCCTGTCCATATCTATTATTTCTTCAAGAGAAACTCCATAAATGCATGGTACGCCCTTGGAGGCTGCCTTCTCTGTGCTACAGGTAAAAATTTCTCAATCTTTAGTTGAAAATTGTACAAGATTACCCTCCCATTGCAGGGAATAGTAATACGAATAAGCCCTTTTTATATTCAGCTTGTTATTATTACCTTGTTATGCTGTGTCTTATGCTGTGTCTCCTTTGTCGAGATCTTAATGTTATGCGCATTTTTATTTCTTTTAGGGTCAGAGGCATTATTCGCAGACCTTTGCTACTTTTCCGTGAGATCTGTTCAGGTAAATGAGGCTGTTTCCGGATGATGTTTCAGTTTTTTTCTGCCTGTAAATTTTCACGTTTCTGTTATTGACTGTAGATTTTCTGCAGCTTACGTTTCTGTTTCTCGTGTTCCCATGCCTCCTGCTGGGCTATTTGGGACAAGCGGCATATCTTATGGAGAATCATACTGATGCAACTCAAGCTTTCTTTTCATCTGTTCCGAGTAAATTTCATTTAATATTTCTTCATCATCGAATAATATCTAAATCTCTATGCGACAGTTTATTCCTTTACGCCAAAGATTGGTTATATGGATTTATCTATCATGTGTCTCTTCAGGCGCAGCATTCTGGCCCGTTTTTCTCATTGCAAACATCGCCGCTCTGATCGCTAGCCGCACAATGACGACGGCGACATTTTCGTGTGTTAAACAGTCAACAGCTTTGGGTTGTTTCCCTCGTCTTAAAATTATCCACACCTCTCGGAAATTTATGGGCCAGATCTATATTCCCGTCATAAACTGGTTCCTCCTCGCCGTCTGTCTGGTCGTCGTCTGCTCAATCTCAAGCATCTACGAAATCGGAAATGCTTACGGTAACACTGTTTCTCCTCAGTTTACAGCCTTAATCATGGTTTTCCTTTTAGCATGCGGTCTATGATTTTGAATTTCCACTAAATTTCACTGATGAACATTTCGGATTTTCATTTTTGTTGCAGGGATTGCAGAGCTAGGAGTGATGATGACGACGACAGTCCTAGTGACATTGATCATGCTTCTTATATGGCAGATAAACATCGCGATCGTGGTTACATTCCGGGTT